TGGTTACAATAACTTTAAAGTAGTGTTTTCAGTTGTTGTCATAGTTATGTTATATATTTACATGCACGTGTCCCTTTGGCCACAGGAGGGGGTACTAGAACCAAATTTAAACCAAATGCTCTCTTCCTGAGTGAACATGCAGCTAATTTAGAAGCAGCATGTTAAATGTGTGAACTAACGCTGGGAAGCACCAAGAAGTGGGTATTAAATTATAACAAAGCGTCTAGCTTGATTGCTCACAGTTCATATTCTGGTACACACGCTATTCCTTTTTGTTTTTTAAATGAGGATTTTGTTCTATTTCAATCAGTACCATGTTCCAACTTGGCTAATGCAATGCACTCATAAAAGGCAGTCCATTAAGTTAAATACAAATGTCTCTGAGTCATTCTAGTTCCTTGGATCAGGGACGTTGTCTTCCTACATGTTTGTGAAACAATATGTACCCGCCCGGTGCTATATGAGTAACGAGGCCAAGATTTCCCTAAGTTCACATTTGGGCACCTAAATAAGTGGAGTGATTTTCCAAAGTGCTCAGAACCCCCTGCTCCCATTTACATGAGTGCTAGATGCTGGGTGCTCAGCAGATATGACAATCAAGGCACTTTATACAGGTGCATAAATAAGCTAACTTCAGGCCTCCATTTTTAAAAAAAATGTTGGTGTGACCTTTTCTTCCCTAATAAGGAGGTCACTTTTTTTAGACCCAAATTTAACTCATGCCCCTGCATCCTGCTTCCAAAGGCAGCATTGAGCACAGCAACATTTCAACACAACTTTAGCACTGAAATAAACCAACAAATTCTATTTCCTAGGCACTGGCAGCAAGAAGGGTTTGTTCCCAACTTGTGACTTACGTTCATTTAGTGTAGCCTAACAGAAAAGCTAAGGGAGGCAGTGTGGCGTATTAGGTAGGGCACAAGACTGGAAGTCAGGAAACCTGGATTCTTGTTCCTTGCTTTGCTGGTACAAGTTACTCCACTTCTTTTTCCCTTTCTATCCTTTATCTTGTCCATTTAGGTTTCAAGCTCTTTGGGAGAGAGACTATTTCGCTAGACGTTTATACACTGACACATACAACACAGGCCAATCTTTGTTGGGGTAGCCATATAAATGATAATAAACGACATGCTATGACACCTAGGGATAGAGGCATTTCAGCAAACAATTTGACCATCACTTTTCCTGGCTCAGCATTCACCCTGTTTAGGCTGATGAGAAAACTACCCCACCAGTGGCTAAGGTCTTGGCTATACTAGAAATTCCCTTTCCCATTCTTGCCAAGTGGCAGCAGTTAAAATGACGGCATCTGGTCTGCAGGAGCACTTCCAAAGATGCTACAACCAGAGATTATCCCCTGGTAATAGTCAAAGTCCCCCTGAGCCAATGGCTCACTGGGCTGATGCCGTTTATTGCCGACGGCACACAGGGCAGTGGCTAGCATCTCACCTGACCACCTTTGACTGCCCTAAGCTGCTGGGTCAGGTACCCAGTTTGCAGCTGGGTGAACTGGAAGTGGCCTTTCAGTGTGAGATCAAGCCACACCCACAACTTTCAGGATTGTAGTCATGCACCTTAACTGCCCCTGACAATGGTGGCCGAGAGCATTTCTAGTGCTCTATGCAGAAGAAGCCCTGGGGGGCTTGGAGGATGTGATTAGGGCAGGAGGGGGGAGGTGCTTTACAAAGGAGAGCAGTATCACCATCCCCATTTCACAGATGGGGAAACTGAGGCACAATGCGGGGACTGCCTCAGGTCACCCAGCAGGCTTTGACAGAGCCAAGAATAGAACCGAGGTCTCCTGAGTCCAAGGAGTACTCAGGAGAAGTAGGCTACACTGCCTTGACTGTAACAACATATGGCAAATATAGTTGGCAAATATGGCAGATGATACAAAACTACTCAAGATAGTTAAATTCCAAACAGACTGCAAAGAGCTACAAAAGGTTCTCACAAAACTGGGCAACAAAATGGCAGATGAAATTCAATGTTGATAAATGCAAAGTAATGCACACTGGAAAACACTGGGATCTAAATTAGCTGTTTCCACTTAAGAAAGATCTTGGAGTCATTGTGGATAGTTCTCTGAAAACATCCACTCAATGTGCAGCGGCAGTCAAAAAAGCGAACAGAACATTGGGAATCATTAAGAAAGGGATAGATAATAGGACAGAAAATATCATATTGCCGCTATATAAATCCATGGTACGCCCACATCTTGAATACTGTGTGCAGATGTGGTTGCCCCATCTCAAAAAAGTTATATTGGAATTGGAAAAGGTTCTGAAAAGGGCAACAAAAATGATTAGGGGTATGGAAGGGCTTCTGTATGAGACTGGGACTTTTCAGCTTGGAAAAGAGACGACTAAAGTGGGGTTATGATAGAGGTCTATAAAATCATGACAGGTGTGGAGAAAGTAAATAAGGAAGTGTTATTTAGTCCTTCTCATAACACAAGAACTAGGAGTCATCAAATGAAATTAATAACAGCAGGTTTAAAATAAACAAAAGGAAGTATTTCTACACACAACGCACAGTCAACCTGTGGAACTCTGCCAGAGGCTGTTGTGAAGGCCAAGGCTATAACAGGGTTCAAAAAAGAACTAGATACATTTATGGAGATAGGTCCATCAATGGCTATTAGCCAGGATGGGCAGGGATGGTGTCCTTAGCCTCTGTTGGCCAGAAGCTGGGAATGGGCGACAGGGGATGGATCACTGGATGATCACCTGTTCTATTCATTCCCTCTGAGGCACCTGGCATTGGCCACTGTCTGAAGACAGGACACTGGGCTAGATGGACCTTTGGTCTGACCCAGCAGTGCCTCTGTGCCAGAACAGGTGTTCCCAGTTGAGCCAGTTAAGGGGGCAGGGTTGTTCCTGAGCTATAAAGGGTCACAGGGAGCTCAGTGAGGGCAGAGCTGGAAGGGAAACTTCAGAGTGAAGCTGCAGGGAGAGATGACTGCTCAGATAGGCGAAACTTCCACCTTGCGCTCCCCTCCCCCAAGCCCTGTGGCAGCTCCCCGCCCCCCCGCCCTGAGGCACCCCCGCCCGCATCAGCTCCCCCCGGCCCAGGGAGCTGTGTGGCAGCTCCCTACCCCAGCTCACCTCTGCTCCACCTCCTCCCCGAGCACGCCATGCCTGCTCTAATTCTCCTCCTCTCCCAGGTGTGCGGCGCCAAACAGCTGATTGGCACTGCAAGCCTGGGAGGCGGGAGAAGTGGAGCGGTGACCGCACGCTTCGGGAGGGGGTGTAGGAACGCTTTAAAAAAATTGGGGTCACCGCTTTTTGGCGCCCCCAAATCTTGGCGCCCTAGGCAACCGCCTAATTTGCCTAAATGGTAGCACCGGCTCTGGATAGCAGGAAGGGCTGTGCCAAGCTTCAGGCTGCGTGGAAGATTTCTTTCTGTGTTTGCGTTTTTGGAACTTTCTGTTAATAAAGAAACCGGCTTGCAAGTGGTGAGCAAGACAGTGTGGAGCATTGTCTCAAGAACCCGGAAGAAGGGGAGAGCAGGGGTAGGACAATGCAAAGGCAGCCCAGGCCACAGGGGGATGCTTGGATGGCAGCCATCATGTTACAAATCCCATGAAAATACAGATCTGACCCTTTCCGAAGAGCTCATCCCCGAGAAATTCAATTCATTTCTCTGCAATGCTGCTCTTGGCGATGACCCAGAAGCTGAGCAGTATCTCACTGCTTCATCGGAAGTGGCGCCTGCGAAACTCCACCCATTGTCTTCTTTGCACAGCAGCCCTAGGCCACTCACTATCATGGGTCTTTTCTTTCTCTCTAGAAAGAGACAACTGCTTTGCTCCACTGACAAGGAAGCAATTATGAATTCCTGAGACTCCAATAAAAAACTGGATTGGTTTCCAAAACACTATTAAGGGCACACTGGGGGATAAGGATTTCAATTTATTGTCGTGAAATATAAAGCTTGCTCCTTATTAGCAGCAGAACAATGAGGAGTAAGTGTTACAGAGGCAAATCTTTCTCTTTAAAAATGTAAAATCAAAGTACCCGCAAACTCCAAAATGGTGGTTGCGATTCAAGCTTTGTTTCACTTGTAATCTATCTAGCTGAAAGGAATCAGCACTAAGGAGCAATGCAAACCAGCAGGAGATGTTATCTTCCCAACCGGCTAGCAAATTTTGCACACCGCTTTTGTTTGGGTCCGTTTAACTGGATTTCCGGGGCTTGATTTTTCAAAAAAGCCCAGCCCCCAACTTCCCAATTAAACAGCCAGATTTCCAGAAGGGCTCAGTACCCAGAAGCTCCTGTCGTTCTCTAGAGCAGCGACGGTTGAGAACATCCAGCCCTTGGTCAATGACAAAACATGATTTTTTTAACACTTTTGAAAATCCCACCCTAAAGCCTCTTCCTTTCTTGGCTGTGAGTAGATGGGCCAAGTCCTCCTCAGAAGGTCATGCAGAGAAGAATCCTGCTGGAGCAGCAGTAGTTCAAATAATAGCAACGTCTGCTTCTTCTTGCTGTTATGCATTAAGGCCTCGATTCAGCAAAGCACTTCAATATGTGCTTAAAGTTAAACCCGTACTTATGTGCCTTGCTGAATCAGGGCCCAAGGCCCCAGACCCACCCCAGGATCCTGTCATGTGGCTCTCTAGTTTGTATGGAGGTCAATAGGACTCCACACAGGCGTCCTGCTAGCAGATCCTCATGCACAACAGGGGCCTAAGAGTCCAATCTTGGTCCCCTGTACAAAACCTAAGTACAAAGGCTTTGCATAAGGGATAGAACCCTCCTCCATTTGGCTCAAGGGCAAAGTGCAAGGCAGCTGGTACTACCGCCCATGGTGAATGGAAACTACACTAATGTAAGGTCTGCTTTCTTGTCTTCTCCCTACTGTGCACATCCTTTGCCAGCTAAGTGAGTAGGGTGAAGTCCCAAAGTTCACACTAGAGTTTGGGCAGCCTCATACCAGAGACAGCTTCACAAAGAGCGAGGGATGGACTTGGTGCTTGTTCTCAGTCGTTATTTTACCTTGTGGCCAAATGTATCTGTCACACTGGCAAGCTGAGCTCGAGACACGTTTCCCTTCTGATCCGGCCGCAGCATGAGGAATCGGCTCCAGCATCTCTGCACCTCTGGGACCGTCACTGGACAGAAGGAAGGAAGGAGAACATACAAGGTTTCAGAATGGTCTGCAGCCAAAGGAGGGGTGCTACATTGGGAGCTCAAAGCCATCATCTTTCGGTGTTGATGTTTTTATTGGAGGACTTTTGAGAGAATGAGGGAAGAGAATAGTTGTTGAGGAACAAGACACCATATAAGGATTGGGCAAAGAGGAACATGATTGTTTGTGCATACACTAATAAAAACAGGGAAACTGGTATGATGAGTCAGTGTGATTTTGATGGGTGCAGAGTTAAGCCAATGTTCAGTGCTCTGGGAGAATCTCCCCATTCCACATACTGACTCCTAGAGGTAGGACTGGATGACAAGACGCCATCCAATTTGCCACCACGCCACCTCTGCTGTGGAGAAGAGCAAAGCCCACAACAAGAAAACTATTAAATGTCAAAGGACAACATTAGTGTTTCCACGGCAACTGCTTGGATGGTAAAAGGTTTTTTTTAACAACAATTCTAACAAGTCAGCACCATGGACATTTTGGTCAGACTATCGAAGCCAGAAAAATTCCAACTCAGCTGTAAGAAGAAAATGACTTGTTCAAGAATCAGCTTAAAGAGGCAGTTCTGAGTCACTGAAGCTTTACCTATTATTTGCTTGAGAGCCTTCTAGTAACAACCAAGAAAAAAAAACCTCCTGTGAAGAACCGCATTGAAAAGAGCGAGCTAGGAAAGACAGATGCTGACTTCTCTGCCACCCGCAGGAATCGTACTGCCAGTTTTATTGCTGAAGGCTGCCCATCTAAAACAGTATGTCAAAAGTGCTGACAGAAATTTCAACCCTGGGAGGCCTCTTAAAAATCTTCCTCTGTGAAACTGAATATACTTGGAAAGCAAAAAACACAATGTGGCAATCACTCACCAGGACCAGGCTGCCTTCTAGCTAGCTTTACCTTCCAGAGTCTCCGAACATTTGGAAAGAAAAATGAGTGAGTTGAAGGTGTTGCCTGAACTGGCTCCAAAGCCTAGACTGGACACCATGCTTTCCTGTAGCGACCATGATTCCCCCAAAAGACAAAGCCAAGATTTTCAAAAGCAAGGTGCCTCAGTGTTGAGGTGCCTGACTTGAGACACATTATAAGGCCTGACTTTCAGAGGGCAAGTTGTCAACACTTGGGGAAAATCAGCCTCTGCGAAGATGTCTTAAGTTGGGCAGCTAAAAACTAAATGGCTAGTCACTTTTGAAAACCTTGGCCTTCATTTCTGGAACATCCCACAGTGCAAAAGCCATGACGCTTTAACACCTTGTTAAAATGTCTCTAAATGGAAGAAGATCTGGGGTGATTTCTTTGCTAACGATGTTCACCTGCCCTGAAGATGCTGCTAAATCATCCGTGGCAGCAAGTATTCATCCTTCAGCTCGTAAATATACTTCCCAAGAGCTCCAGGTTGAACCGAATCTTGGGAATTCTCCCAGCGGAGGGCAATCCCAGGATCTCTCGCAACCTCTTTATCTCAACCGCATTTCTTATTGCACATGCTGAGCACCATGTTAAATAGTCAGGACATATCTCCAGGATCAAAGTATAAATCTTTCCAGCCACGTCCACATGATGTGATTTTCAGTACGTGATGGTTCTTCCTCTTTGTCCAGGGGTATGAGAAAGTACTGTGGTTGTAATGAGAAAACGAATGGAGAAAGTCCTCAGTTGCTCACCCCTCCTCTCTTCAAGCTCAGGCATGTAGCGCATACACTTAGAATGACAGGCTCAAGGGAGGAATTTTTGGGACCCTTTTGTTAAAATGTTGGTGGCACATTGGATTGCTGCTTGTTTTGATGACCACTAGAATAGTAGCAGCCACAGTAGCAATAATAAAAATGGTCAAGTATTTCCCCATAAGCTGAAATCTTCACAAACATTGCAGGAGAGACACCCTAAAAGAACCTCCTAGAATCTGGAGAGCTACCTTATTGGGCTGGCAGTGCTCAAACAGAGCCTATGAACACAGGGAGACAGACTTTTTGTCATCAACTCACAGAAGGGAAACAAATTCCAGTTACACCCCTATCTGTGTCAAGTATCAGAGGGGTAGCCGTGTTAGTCTGAATCTGTACAAAGCAACAGAGGGTCCTGTGGCACCTTTGAGACTAACAGAAGTAGCATCTTCTTCAGATGCAAGAAGTGAGGTTCTTACCCACGAAAGCTTATGCTCCCTATACTTCTGTTAGTCTCAAAGGTGCCACAGGACCCTCTGTTGCTTTGTAACCCTATCTGTGACCATATTAAAAGCAGATTTTTCATGGAAGATCTATAGGTATCCCTTCAGGGTGGGACCTTCAGCGGGCTCCCTGCCACATATAATTCCTTCCTGCATGCACTGGGAATTAATAATTCAGTGACACCAATTACTGCTGTATTCTACACACTGGCCTGTGTGTACTCCAACCTCGTATTCATTAGCAGTGGATTTAAACCATGGCATTTGGGGACAGAAGGTCAGACTGGGAGTGGGGGTCCTTGTTTGGGCCCAATGTAGAAAAAGGTTCTAGCAACAAAATTCAGCACCAGATCCAAACCTCCCCAGAATTCAGATTGTTGGGATCTGTCCAGGCCCATTTCTGATACTCACAGCATAATACAGAACATGAATGGTGAGCTGATGCTTCCCCCATTGACACCCCACACTCTGAACCTGTGCTCAGGTCAACACTGCACAGCTGCAGCTGGGGCTGTAGTTGCGGTTTTGCATTATATGTGTACCTTATCTTAGGAACTTGTACAGTAGGGTTGCCAATCCTCCAGGATTGGCCTGGAGTCTCCTGGAATCAGCATCAATCTCCCGGTGACTATTGAAAGTATTTTAATTTTAATAGGATTAATTTTAATTAATTAATTTTAATAGGAGATTTTAATAGGCTATTTTAAGAAAATGACATTACATCACATTGGGGGGAAAAAATCTCCCAGAATAGCTTCTGTCAGAGTTGGCAACCCTATTGTACAGGCCCCATCACCACAGATTCTGAGTACCTCCCAATCTCTAATGTATTTATCCTCAAAACACCCCTGCTGAAGTAGGGAAGTGCTATTATCCCCTGGTGCAGGTGGGGAACTGAGGCACACAGAGGCTAAGTGACTTGCCCAAGACCACACAGAGAGTCAGTGGCAAAGCAGGGAAGTCAAATCATAGGTTAACACCCAAACCAATAGCTCATCCATCCAGGTATGTGAAGACAATGCATGCAGTATGTTTTCCTGTCTGCTGGATGGCAGAAGTAACTTCCTCATGACATTGTGGAGGCTATCACTGGCCATGGAAACGGGCTGCATAGGTGTTATAGGGCAAAGTTATGAGTCCTCATATAACCTGGTATTTGCTTGCTTTCTAGGGCCATGTTGGCAGGAATGTCACTCTTAACCAAACTGGAGCCCTTTTCAGTGACGAGTTTTAGAAATACAATTCTGTTTGATTAGCAGCTTCACTGGCACATCTCTTGCTAGCAGCGCAACTCACATTCTGCAGAGGAGCAGATTTTTTGATGCACCGATTAAGATAAATTTCTTGCCACTTGAAGAACTGTTGATGATATTTTTATGAAACAAATCTGTTGAAGAGGTGGCTTTCTCTCTGACATGGCTTTGCCATTTCATTATGGTCAGACATATACAAGACCTTTTATAACCTTCACTGCTTACTGGTTCAAGACACTTATAATTTGATTCCAGTGAAGAGCATCACTAGAAAGCAGAGGCATAGACATAAAACCATTGATTTACATCAAGCCATATGAACTGCGATTGCTTTCTCTATCCCTCTCCTCTCCTCTCCTGAGCAGGATTGTGTGAGAACACCATCTGCTGTCTTTATGCCCTAAAATGCCTCATATACTTACAGGGATTTTGTGCTGTGTAAGTTCCACTGGATCACCTTCCATTCCTTTTAAAAAGGAACTTGTTTCCTTCAAGAAAAACAGAATTTTCGAGAGCAGATCGATTTAAGAAGGGGTGGGTTACTTAGTGTTTATGCACTGGGTACAGCAAGTTGAAATTTTTTGTTCCAGACATTTTTGATGAAAAAGACTTTCAGAAATTTCCATTAGAAAATGTCCATTTTTATTCGTTTTCAGGTTTTCGTGAAAAAATTGAATAATTTAATCCAAAAGTTGACTCCCGCCCTCTGGTTTTTTGGCAACTATAAATCAGAAAATTTTAGCCAAAAACTGAAAAAAATCTTAAAAAAAAACAAAAACAAACCCAAAATGTTTGAAGGAAAATGTTAATGAACACAAAAACATATTTGTTTAGTAAACATTTTTACAAGGACAAAACACATTTTCCAAACAGCTAAAACATTCCAAACAGTTGAGAACTTGGGCAAAACTTGTTAAAATGTTAATCCTTTCTTTTGTCAACATTTGTGAAATGTCTATGAAAAATGTGGTTGAATTTCAAACATTTTCAAGTTTCAGGGTAGCAGCCGTGTTAGTCTGTATCCTCAAAAAGAACAGGAGTACTTGTGGCACCTTAGTTGTTAGTCTCTAAGGTGCCACAAGTACTCCTGTTCTTTTTAAACATTTTCAACCTGTTCACACCAGCATTTGGTATTTTGGGGATTTGCACGGCAGCCTGTTCTTTGGTGCAGAAGTGTATTTGGAACTGAAACAGACTTTGACTAATGGGTAGCAAATTGCTTTGCTAACTAAAGCAAATTAAGGGTATTAAGGGATAAACATTGCTAAATAAATACAAATGCACATCAAAACAAAATGTTAGTTCCTTAATTACTGAAAACACATCCTGAAATGAGTGCACAGGTGTGGTGTTATCTGTCTCCATGGAGACCACTGCAGTCTCTTCTAGGACCCCTGATAATCTGCATCCAGCACAATCTATCCTTCCATTTGCTCTCATGCCTCTTAAGGGTGCCCCTTCCCAAGGGTCACTTCTCCCCATGAGCAGGCCTGAACCAGAATCATATTCTTCCTCATTCCACTCAAAACCGAGGAATGCTAGCATCTGAAGCAT